AGCACTGCAGACAATTTACCATCAGGCTGACTCAGTGTTCCCAAGTGAAACAGCACAATTTTAAGTACAGCTCATCCATGCTTAGGCATATATATAAATATAATCACAGAAGTGGAGCACTCCTACTGCTTGCCATCTTGCTGCCATCTTGCACTTTCCCCATTCATTAGTGATTATCAAAACTATGACGAATCACAGGTCTATGTTCTTGGCACCTGAATGACTACTCGAGAAGCTACAACACTTTCCAGGGAAAGAGAGAAATCAGTAGCCCATCTATTCACTGACAACAAAGAACATCTGACAAAAAAAAATCTGCTATTGTAGAGAAATGTAATCACGGGGTGAAGAACAAACTTGAAAATTTATGGGGTGACATACAACAAAATAAATCGCCAAATAACCTATCTGCAATGCTACTGAAATCTGTCACGCACAGCTAGCAAAAAAGGAGTGACCATTACAGTGTTTATTCTTAAAAATAGCAATTTTGTGATTATCAGCATCAAACCACACTGAGACTCAGTAGGTGATATCTTGCCCATGTGGGTGTCCACTTAAAAATATGTTGTATCCTTTTATCTGCAAACATACATACCTTCAGTACAAACAATTTCAAGTCAGGAAAAAAACACCGAAAATTTTGAATAGTATAGTTGAGTGCTACTTTGCAGAACTGAAATTACTTCAGACTAGGAAGACAACCTGGAGGATAGCAAGGTCACCCACAATCAAACACGAAGTCACTGGCTATCATTTCTAGGACTTTACGACATAATACACTTTCGGTATGGGCTGATCATCCCACTTGGGATAAATATAAAGTATGAATTCAAGTAACTGCTCATGTAGTAAAAAAAATCTTTTGCAAAATGAACTCATAGCAACTGAATTATTATTTCACACTACATTGCCAGGATTTCCACAGAACTAAAACAAAAATACATGTTCTGTTCCATTTAGTGATAAAAAATGAAACAAGGACATACGAAGAGTAAAATTAAAGTGTGTTATATCATCACAGTTCTTGTGAACTTTCTGAAACACTAAGTAATACATGGCTGGTTTTCTTACTCTGGGTCATGGCTTAATCTTACCAGGTGAGAAGTAATATCTGAATTAGTTTAGATGACCTTTAAGGTCTCTCCCATCTCTCATGATGTTAGATTCCACTTAGTTATGTAAATTTGAGTAATTTGTAACTTACTCCTGGGAATGTGTTAAACTCAGGTAATGAGGGCACCATTTTTTGCATTAAGGTGATGTCATGAAACTGCTAAATAGTACTCAAGTAGCCCGAGGGAATTTGTCATTTAAGAAAAACTCATATAGTGTTTACAGTATGCCCAGCATTGTTCTAAGTGCTTTATAAATATTAATTCATTTATACAATATTTTCAGTACACTTAGAAAATAAGCTCTTATGAGGCTTAATGAGTAGGTGAATTCGCATTTACCTATGAATTTAAGTAAACAACTCCATTCACTTACTCTTTAAAATTCAAACTATTCATTTCTAACAACTAAGATTATCCCACAAAAACACAAACCTGGTAAATTAACTCTCCTTATGAAATCCTTAGATTGCCTTGAGGACAAATGCCAGTTTCCCCAGCAAATCATGAAGGTGCTGCAACATCTCTCTGCTTTCCTGTTTTGTCTCATGTCTCCCCTCAATCCTAACTATTTGCAGTTAACAAAAATGTATCCTGACTCCCACATGCCTACATACTTGCTGCCCCTTGGCTTTGATATTCCAGTCCTCTCCCTTTAATCTGGCCAATTCCTACTCGCTCTCAAAACATAGCTCACACAGCACCTCCTCCAGAGAGTCTATCCTGACTGCTCACCTGGGTTGAATAATAGGTCTTCTCTACTTCCACAGCTTTCTGTGATCACCTCCAGAAAATCACACAGATGGGCAGAATGTAACTGCTTCTTCATCCATCCATCTTCCCACTTGTCTGTAAATCCCTTAAAGGCTAAAACTAAGTCTTTTCTCTTTGAATCCCCAGGGCCTTGCATAAAACTTGGTACACAAAAGGAGCTCAAGTATATATATGCCTTTAGCCCTGACTGATGTGGCTCAGTGGGTTGGGTGTTGTCCCCTAAACCAAAAGGTCACTGGATCGAGTCCCAGTCAGGGCACATGCCTAGGTTGTGGGACAGGTCCCTGGTTGGGGGTATGTGAGAGCCAACTGATCAATAGAAGTTGTTTCTCTTACACATAAATGTTTATTTCCCTCTCTTTTTCCTATCCTTCCCCTCTCCCTAAAAACAAATAAATAAAATCTTTAAAAAAATAAATGCCTTTAAATAAACAAACCAACAAATGAATATATGGTTTGTAGTGTGACAGAAAATCATCCTAATTTTATTTCTGAAGTAGAAAGAAATTAGCTAAAAATATCTATGGGTAGCTAAGATACCATAAATTATATCTATTCAATTACCAAAAAAATAACAAGGGCCATATATAGGGATGGGCAAAAATAGGTTTACAGTTATAATACAAATAATACAATAATTAAATAAGAATACAAGAAGAAACTCTGTTTCGCAGGCTCACAACTGTAAACCTGCTTTTGCCCTCCCCTGTACAATCAATATGTTTTCAGGTTGAATTACAGCTCCTGAGGACACTAGAAATGCCAGAATGCAGGAAAACTCCTTAGTTTACTAACTGTAGGAAAAGTTGGCATAAGGCAAACAGGTCTTTACGACTCTGCCGGATTCAGTCTTCATATTAACGGTTTCTAACTACAGTTTAAGGAGCACCGTAAGCTGCAAAGGCTCGCCAGGAGATCCAGACATCCAACCAGATGTACTGTGTGAACTTTGTGCCAGGCACTGAGATGACTTCCTGTAATAATTACTTTGATGACAAGACAGTATCTTCACTTTCAATTCTGACTTGAATAAATAATCAATTCATGCTGTTTAACCTAAATCCTACCAATTCATTCACACCTCACCAAAAGCCAGAGCGGTTCTTCTCAATTCTGAGGCTTATTGCTGTAGAAAACAGAAACTGCAGGAGCCCAAGGTGTCTTCTACTCCAAGTGGAGACGCCTAAAAACCAAAGAACTGCAGACGTAGAGCTCCATAAGTGAGGAAAAAAGAGGGAGAACTGGCCTGTTTGTCAAAAGTGGTGGTCTTTCCCAAACACAGAGGATGGCAGAGATTCCTGCAGACATTATTAGTATGAGGCAGAGACTCAGAATTTCCAGATTCAATCCTGCGGTTTTCTTTTTCTACATCTCTACTTCCTTCCATCTTGCTTCCTCTCCAAAAAAGACTTTGTGATTTGTTTTAAAGCACTGGTTATATCAGTAAAAATTCACACTGTGGGAAATTCTAAAGGATGAAAGACCCCATGTCTTCAGTGAATAAATTGCAAGGAAAAACAAAGAAATTTAAAAAAGAAAAAGAAAAACAAAGAAATAGAGGAGGGGAACTTTACATTAAAGCGACTTAAAAAAAACAAAAAATCCCACTAATTAGTTAGAAGATATTATTTGGTTCCTGAATCAAATAAACTTAAATATATATGTACTATATTTACATATATTTATATATTTTAACATATTTATATACTTAATATATATTTATATATTAGATATAATATGGTTACATTTTTAAAAGAATTGCTATCTTTTAGAGATGCATAGTGAAATTTTTAAAAATAAAATAATATGATTTGCTTCAAAATAATATAGAAAGGGGAAGTAACTAGGTAGGATATAGGTACAACAAGATTGGTAATCGAGCTGATCAATTGGTAATTAATGTCAGTTGTTAATCGTTGAAGCTTGGGCTTCGCTAAAATATTCTACTTTTGCATGTGTTTGAAATTTATTCCTCCATAGAAGTAATTCTAATGTATTGAATAGTAAGACAGTACCCCCTGCTTTTTCAGTTTTACTATGGAAACAAGTTAATATAAAAAAGGAAAATAGATATTTACTAAACATTAAGTCAAATAATGGCATCTTTCATTAAAGGCTTGGCATATTAGATTTTTTACTACAATAATCTAACTTCGTTGACTATTACTATAGCTCTTTAAATTAATTCCTCACTTTTATTAAAGTTTAATATTGGGCTACAAATACAAATTTAAATAATATTTTTCCATTTTCACATATTTTACTCGTACAGATAAATTATGTTTGCTTCAATTAAGCTTCCAATTTTCAACTACATGAACGAGTTGTATCTTAATATGCACTTACAAGTAGGTGAACTGGTTGCTAGACTGATGTATGTAATTTTTTTTAAAAAGTTTATATAGCCCCAAATATTTACTGAAATTAACCAGTAAATTCAAAATAATTTTCAGGCATACCTGTGGATATGTGATATTGATCTAAGCACTGGTAATTAATAAAACTTACATTTTTAAAAAACATCATTTACAAATCCCGATAAATAACATGACCCTAATTGCACGAAGCTCCTACCAACGAAGAAACTGGGGAGGTGGACTTCTCTGGCTCCCACATATTGAGTAAGCTGATAACCTTGAAGTTCAGCTTGTTTTTATGGCTGGGGTTTAGTTAGAGATGTCTAGGTTTGTTTTTCCAATTTTTTAACAGTACCGAGTGTGGTTTAAACCACTTCTAAAGTCTTTGAACATTACAACAACCACAACAATAATGACTCACATTCTGCCCAGATATTACACCCCTTCTTGCTAATGCATGGACCTGCTTTTGCCTGAGAGAGGTGAGAGGGTTTCCGCCCTTTTGCTCAGCTGACGCGCAGCTAGAGGCATCCCGCACAAACTCCTCTCGAGCAAAGTCCCTAGTCTGTGGTTGTTTGGGGCTTTTGTCCCCCTTTCTGTTCTTTTTGCACAAGGAGCGCCCTGCAGGACTAGTATTAGGATTGCGCTCATTTCACCTAAGACACTGCATCTCCAGGGCAACCGAAAGCAAACGCAGAGTCGCGGGTGTGCCGGGCAGCGCGGAGGACCACCCTCTCCAGACAGCGCCTCTCACCTGAGCGCCGGGGTCGCCCCGCACCCGTGTGGTCAGCACGTCGTGCCCAGTTTCGTCTTCGCCGCCAGAGCGGTAGATGAGCCGGAGTGGCACGATGCTCTGGCGCTCCAGGAAGCGGTTTTCGTACCTCCTCTCCGGCTCCGTCAACGAGGCGTCTCCTCCAGGCAGGAAGGGGAGAAGGAAGGAATGGTGAGAAAAGCCTAAAATAATGACCCTGACTCACCCTCCTCAGTCCTGCGGTGCGACCCCTCCCCTCTGAAAATTCCACCGCCCCCTCCCTCCAGGACCCCATCTGGGAAAGACGCAGACACCAGTCGGAGAGCCTTGGACCAGCTCCTCTGAGAGCATCAAGGGTCGGGGCCCAGAAGCAGAGCACCCCTTTCCCATCCTCCGCATGTCTCTTCTTCAAAAGAAAAACAGACATTTGACCGAAGGCTTCTACTGCATCCGCGCGCCCCCACACGTATTTTTGGTCCACTTCTCACCATCCTTCCAAATAAAAAAATCTCCCCGCGATGCCCCTTTGCAATGCGCTTGAGGGCTGAAGAGATTCCCAGCAAATGGTACATCCCTAAGCCTCAGACCGTGGCCAACTTACCTGCCCGGCCGCAGCGCGCCGGGGGGCAGGTCCCCAGTACGCAGAGCAGCAACAAGGGCACGGACGCAGCCGCTGCCCGCATGGTGCTGCGGTCAGTCCGCCTCGTTGGAGACGCTCAGCTCTTCATGCCCGGCCAGCCGGTCCGGCTCCCTGGCCCAGCGCCCCCCGGTTCGCCTGGGTCGCCCCCTCCCAGTCCCGGCCGGTGCTGCGGTGGCCGTGGCGCTGCAGCCTCCACCGCCGCGCTGCCTCAGTGCTGCATTGTGCTCCGCGGGCGCTTCCGCTGGCGGGGGGAGAGAGCGAGTGCTGCATTGGGCGGTTGGCTGTAGTTAAGTGGTTTCTAGCGCCTCCCACCTCATCCCTCGGCAGAAGCTCCAGCGGGCGACGAGCGCTCTGCAGGGATCCAGCGCCTGGTGCACTTACCCCCAGCGCGCAGGGGCGCGCACCAGAGTCGCTGGGAAATGTAGTTCCCTCTTGTCCCGCTCGTCTCCAGCAAGGGGCGGACTGTTGTAACCGCGAGGTCTTCTACAGCCTGAAGACCGGTGGGAGAAAAAGGGAGGAAGAAAGAGAGGTGTTCTCTGGCAGACCTCTTCGCACCGAGGATACCCAAATATGCGTCTGCGGGAGCCGGTATTCATCCACTTCGTTCACAAAGAACTGTATTAATGTTTCCTACAAGTGTAATAGTTAATGATTATCAGGGAATCACAACCTCAAGAGTACCTGGTAAGTTAATCACTAAACAAGTATTGATTGAGGACTTACTATGTGCCTGGCAGTTAACTAGGCATAGAGGACACAACTGTGAATGACACTACTGTAAGAGACACCTGCTCTCAGACATAGTTGAGTAAACACCGTTTTATTCAAAGCAGTGTGAATACTGTCCTGGTAAAGCTAGAGGAGGGTTATTAACTCAGCCAGGGGGAGACAGGGAGAGCCTGCAGAAGAAGGTCTACACAGGCACTTGAAGGATGTGTTGGATTTAGCTCAGCTCTCCAGGGTGTTTTGTCCTTTCTCTAGTATCTGTCTGTTTCAAATCTGTATTTGAAAACCAGACTTGGGAAACTCTACTTTCCCGGCTGCTTATGTCATTTTTCTTTTTAATTCCAAATGTCAGAAACTCTTGAGGATAAGACAATAACAAAATAACTGTCACCCCAATTAACCCTTGTGTAGTAAGACTGCACAGTTTTTCAAAGGTCACATATATAGTCATGTTAACCTTAGGTCAACAACTGGATAAGTATTATTATTCCCATATCAGAGAGGAGGAAATTAAGGCTTAGAGCCATGCCTTTCAAATACTGTAGCCACTAGCCACATATAGCTATTTAAATTTAAATTAAGTAAAATTTAAAATTCAGTTCCTAAGTCACACTAGCCACATTTCAAGTACTGAATAAGATACCTATGGTGAAAAGCTACTGTTCCATACAGCAAAAATATTGAACATTTCTATCATTGCAGAAAGTTCTGTGGGACAACATTGGATTTAAAAATGTGAATGACTCCCCAAGGTCACATGGCTAGTAATAAAGTAGCCTGGATCTCCTGCTTTCAGATCTGCGTCTTTTCCCACATTTCCCTGGTTGGACCTGTGCTTGTGTAACCTCAGTCCTAGTTCTTGTCCTGTGAAACATACAGAACAGCCTTCCACATAATGCCCTTTGGAGATGTTTTCTCCTTTACTAGAGGAATTTTCTTTTTTAAAAAAAAAAAATCCTGTCTCATGTGACATGGTTTCAGGTTCCCACACCAACATGATGATTTGAAAATACACTCCAGTGTGTCGATGTCCCTATAAAGTGTGGTATCTAGAATTAAATACAACTAAGACACATTTTCACAAGCAAACTGTAGAAAGGGACTCTTCCCTCTTGGCCTGAATTCTTGCCTGTGAGAACATTCTATCATATTTGGGTCACCACATCTCACTGAGCTTATTGCCATTTAAAAGAAATTCCCCCAATCCTGCAAATAATGAGATACTTTAGACTTCTATATATGACATGCAACTGTAGCCTGAATAAGGGCTACAAGTTTTCGATAGCACCCTTTACACCTTGATGCAGAAGATTCCATAACAGTCACTGTGAAAGAGAATTACAACTAAGGCCTGGAGAAGCCCTTCACCTTCATCACCTAAATCATGGACCCAAATTTTCACCTAGTTCTCTTAGTTGGAAGAATTAATTTTTCAAGTTTTAAAAACATTGTGCTGCTCTAAGTATACAGCATAAGTTTTTACATAAATGCTTTCGCTGTCATAAGCAATGCCTCCCTGTATGTGTGTTGTGAGCATTTCCTAAGGTGCGTAGCAGAGTGCAGAACTGCTTGGTTCATACAGTTTGCACATTTATTTTTTAAGGAGATGGCTCTGAGCACACAGTTTCTCCAAGGTATGTGGTGGTGGTGGGTGGGGGCAGAAGTAAGCTTCTCTCTCTGTGACACTTCAGAACAAAGCATCCTAAGGGCACAGAATCTCCTTCGAATCTGTGAAGTAGAGTGCTTCTGACTACACCTTAACTACTATATATAATTACAAATATATACACATCTATACATCTTAACTACCACATATATTATTTGTATATATATGCAAATATGTATACACTTACACATATCTGTGTTTTTTTATGTTTTTGTCATTGTTTTCATTTGATTCTCATTATCTAGTTAATTAACACATCCATCACTTCATATTTATCTTTTTTGGGGGGCGGGTCAGAACATTAAAGTTCTACTCTCTGCAAACTTCAATTATATGATAGTGTTATCAACTGTCATCACCATGTTTTACATTAGTTTCTCAGTTCTTATTCATCTTATAGCTGACAGTTTGTTCCCTTTTACCACCCCTGTTTCCTCCACCCTCTGGCCCCTGACAACCACTTTCTTACTTGGTTCCTATGAGTTTGATTTTTTTCTATTTTTTAGATCCCACATTTAAGTGATCCCATGCAGTATTTCTCTTTCTCTGTTTACCTATTTCACTTAGCATAATGCCCTCAAGATCCATCATATTGTTGTAAGTGGCAGGATTTCCTTCTTTCTTATGGCTGAAAAATATTCCACTGTATATATATTAATATATATGATTACACATATATAAATACACATATATATACATGTGAATATATGAGTATATTACATTATCTATATATGTGTGTGTATAACATAAACATATACACAGACACACACACATATATATGACATCTTGTTTATTTATTAACCTATTGATGGACACTCAGGTTGTTTCCATATCTTGGCTATTGTGAATAGTGCTGCAATAAATGTGGGAGTGCAGCGGTTTTTGTTGGAAAGCTCCCACCCCTGGCCCCACCACTTTTAACACCAAGAATTAGGAGTTAGAGAATTAAGGGGAAACTAAATTCATGGGTATTAGCCCACTGAGAATAACCCTGATCCATAGGGCCAACTGCACCTTTGGATTCATAGACCAAATCCAAACCCATTCTTATGTTAATATTAAGGCATTCTTGGTAATCTGTTTGTTTTTGTAAATTTTATTAGAAAAGACTGTAAAATAGCCACTTAGATACTTTACCTCTTAAGCACCTAGATGTAAGTAAGTTATAGTTTAGAAATTCCTTTATTTAAATATAAAGACAAGACTGTCCAATTTCTGCTGTGTATTACCCAGGGTTTATTCACAAAGCTTTAAAAAAAAAAGAAATATGAATGTCTTCTTTGGGGAAAAAAAGTATATTGAGTTCCTCTGCCTATTTTTAATCTGATTGCTTATTTTTTGCTGATGAATTGTATGAGATTTTTTAAAAAAATATTTTAGGGCACTTTCAGCCAAGATGGAGGCATAGGTATATATGCTTTCCTTCCTCACACAACCAAAAGGACAACAACAAATTTAAAACCAAAAAATAACCATAACTGCCAGCAAATCAAACTGTATGGAAGTCCAACAACCAAGGAATTAAAGAAGAAACATTCATCCAAACTGGTATGATAGGCAGAGATGGGCAGCCAGAATGGAGAGGATGTGAGGCAAGGCAGTAGACCGGGCAGGCGAGGTGGCAGCTGGCAAACCAGGGAGGTCCCACATTCCAGTGCAGATAAACCAGGAGGACAAACTGGAGAGCAAAGACAGATCACACATCCCAGGGTTCCAGTACGGAGAAATAAAGTCTCAAAACCTCTGGCTATAAAACCTGTGGGGTTTACGGTGGCAGGAGAAACTCCCAGCCTCACAGGAGAGTTCATTGGAGAGACACATGGGGTCTTGGAATTATACAAAACCATCCACCAGGGAAGCAGCACCAGAAAAGGCACAATTACCTTGTGGGTAGTGGGGGAAGTGACTGAAAGTCGGGCAAGAGCCAAGCAAGTGGCAGTTTTCCCTCTCTGACTGCTCCCTCACATACAGCACCACAACACAGTAGTGTGGGTTACCCTGCCCTGGTGAATACCTAAGGCTCCACCCTTACAATGCAACAGGTGAGCCAAGAAATAAACATTCAACCAGAATAGAATGAAGAAACAAGAATTCAAAAAACTGAAGCAAGGCTTAGGAACTGCCAGGACAACCTTAAATGTTCCAACAACTGAATCATAGGGGTGCCAGTAGAAGAAGAGAAAGAGCAAGAAATGGAAAACTTATTTGAACAAACAATGAAGGAAAACTTCCCCAATCTGGTGAAGGAAATAGACTTTCAGGAAGTCCAGGAAGCTCAGAGTCCCAAAGATATGGGATTCAAGAGAGAACACACCAAGCCACATCATAATTAAGTTGCCCAAGGTTAAACATAAGGAGAGAATCTTAAAAGCAGTAAGAGGAAAGGAGACAGTTACTTACAAATGAGTTCCCATCAGACTGTCAGCTGATTTCTCAAAAGAGACCTTATAGGCAAGAAGGGGCTGGAAAGAAGTATTCAAAATCATTAAAGGCAAGGACCTACATCCAAGATTAGTCGGTCCAGCAAAGCTATCACTTAAATTGGAAGGGCAGAAAAAGTGCTTCCCAGATAAGGTCACATTAAAGGAGTTCATCATCATCAAGCCCTTCTTATATGAAATCTTAAAGGGCCTCATCTAAGAAAAATATGATGATCAAAAATATGAACAGTAAAATGACAACAACAAAGCTATCAACAGTTGAGCCCAAACAACAAAAACAAACTAAGCAAACCGAACAGGAACAGAATCACAGAAATAGAGATCACATGGAGGGTTATCAGTGGGGATGAGCGGGGAGAATGGGGGAAAAGGTACACAGAATAAGAAACATAATTGGTAGGTACAAAATAGACAGGCAGAAGTTAAGAATAGTAAAGGAAATAGAGAAGCCAAAGAACTTATATGTACCATCCATGGACATGAACTAAAGGGGGCAAAATGCTGGCAGGAT